GTCCCTAGCCTTTGGTACTGCCTCTTGTTCTTTTTTTTGTGGTGAATTTTTCCGCCTTGTCATTTTGTCCAGATAAGAGTATATGAAGGAACAAGTAAAATACTAAAAGGGTGGCAACAACTCCAGGAAAATATGCTTTAGCCAAATCAGAAGAGATCCCAAATCGTGAGGGGGGGGAAGGGGATATAAAGAGGTTCAGAAAGAAAAAAGGAAAAAAGAAAAAAAAAAAGAAAAAAGAAACAAATAAAAAAAAAGAAAACCAATAATGAAAAAATGTAAAAAGGAAAAAAAAATATATATATATATATTTGATAAACTAGTTAAAAAACGTTAAAGAAGAAAAGGGTAGAAGTTAAAAAAATTTAGAAGAAGAAAAAAAAATTGAAAAAGAAAAAAAAAATTAACTGCAAGACTAAAGAATCATGGGGAGAAAGCCATGAGTTCCGTGCTTTGCTTTCTCCTCCTCTGGAATTCCGCTGCTCTCCTTGGTATTGAAACTGCACTCCTTGGTAGGTGAACTTGGTCCTGGCTGGGTTTCTTGTTGATCTTCTGGGGGAGGGGCCTGTTGTAGTGATTCTCAAGTGTCTTTGCCCCAGGCGGAGTTGCACCACCCTTACCAGGGGCCGGGCTGAGTAATCCGCTCGGGTTTGCTTTCGGGAGCTTTTGTTCCTTGGGCGCACTCCGTAGAGTTCCAGAGGACGGGAAGGAAGATGGCAGCCTCCCAGTCTCCGGCCCGGAGGAGCCGAATGTCTGGGGTCCCAGTCCTCAGTGCGCCCTCAGAGAACAGCGCCCAATTGCTCCCATCACCCTGGCCTCCGGCCGCGCTCCGAGCTGACCGAGCCTGCGAGTGGTTCAAGGTAAACCCGAGCTTAGAGCTCACTCCTCAGCTCTGTCTCTGTAGCCGGCTTCCCCGTTCTAATACCCGTAAGCTCTGCGACACTCAGACACCCCCGATCCTTCTGTGACCCTGTGGGACCTGAGGTCACGCTGACCCCGCGTGCGCTTCACCCCGGTTAAGCCTCTGGAGTGATGTCCCTCAGCGGAACAGACTTTTAAAAGTCCTGATTTTGTGCTCCGTTGCTCCGCCGCTTGCCGGGAGCCGGCCCCTGCCCCCGCGGTCTATGTTCCCATCGCTTTGGATTCACTTCTCCGCCAGTCCTACCTTTCAGGAAGTGGTTGATTTTCTGTTTCTAGAATTGCTGTTCTTCTCTTCGATCTCCCGTTGGATTTGTAGGTGTTTGCAATCTTTAGATAAACTATCTAGCTGATCTCCCGCTACCTGAAGTAGTCTCAGCCTGCTACTTCTCCGCCATCTTGACTCCTCCCCCCCATGTATGCCATTTTTTGTTTTATGTTTGTTCTTTCTCTTTTCTTTCCTTCCTATCTTTCTATAAGATACTTGAACATTTTTTAGAATCCATTTTTATTTTTTTTTCAATTTTTTATTTTTTCAGCGTAACAGTATTCATTATTTTTGCACCACACCCAGTGCTCCATGCAATCCGTGCCCTCTCCAATACCCACCACCTGGATCCCCCAACCTCCCACCCCCCGCCCCTTCAAAACCCTCAGATTGTTTTTCAGAGTCCATAGTCTCTCATGGTTCACCTCCCCTTCCAATTTCCCTCAACTCTCTTCTCCTCTCCATCTCCCCTTGTCCTCCATGCTATTTGTTATGCTCCACAAATAAGTGAAAGCATATGATAATTGACTTTCTCTGCTTGACTTATTTCACTCAGCATAATCTCTTCCAGTCCTGTCCATGTTGCTACAAAAGTTGGGTATTCATCCTTTCTGATCGAGGCATAATACTCCATAGTGTATATGGACCACATCTTCCTTATCCATTCGTCCATTGAAGGGCATCTTGGTTCTTTCCACAGTTTGGCGACCGTGGCCATTGCTGCTATAAACATTGGGGTACAGATGGCCCTTCTTTTCACGACATCTGTATCTTTGGGGTAAATACCCAGTAGTGCAATGGCAGGGTCATAGGGAAGCTCTGTTTTTAAATTCTTGAGGAATCTCCACACTGTTCTCCAAAGTGGCTGCACCAACTTGCATTCCCACCAACAGTGTAAGAGGGTTCCCCTTTCTCCACATCCTCTCCAACACATGTTGTTTCCTGTCTTGCTAATTTTGGCCTTTCTAACTGGTGTAAGGTGGTATCTCAATGTGGTTTTAATTTGAATCTCCCTGATGGCTAGTGATGATGAACATTTTTTCATGTGTCTGATAGCCATTTGTATGTCTTCATTGGAGAATTGTCTGTTCATATTTTCTGCCCATTTAGAATCCTAGAATCCACTTTTATTTATCTGTATTGTTTTGAGTTTGCCTCTTAGAATAGCATTTTCAATTGTTGCTTTAGGTATTACATAAACATAATACAATCTACTTGTTTTGTCATTTTACCAATTGAGGAGAGTGTAGATCCTTTAACTCCCTTTATGTCTGTTTACCCAGTTTTTAATACAGTTATCAAATATTTACTCTACATGTATTTTGAATAACGTTAAAGTATTATAATTTTTGTTTAAACAATCAAATATAGCTCAGGAAACTCAAGAGGAGAAGGAATGCCTATTATATTTAGCCATATCTTTGCTTACTGTATTCTTTCTTCCTTCCTGATGTTCCAAGGTTCCTTCTTTTAATAATTTCTGTTCTGTTTAGAAAACTTTCATTAGCCATTCTTTTGGGATATGTCTGCTGGCAAAAATTCTTTGTTTCCCTTCATCTGAGAATGTATTGATTTCCCTTTATTCCCAGAAGATGTTTTTGCTGGATATAGGATTCTGTGTCAGCAGTTCTTTTTATCCAGCACTTGAAAAACATGTGACACTTTCTTCTGGTCCAGTATTTCTGATGAAATATTTGCTGCCACTCTAATTATTTCCCCCTACAGGAAAGGTATCATTTTTCTCTGATCACTTTTAGAACTTTCTCTTTGTTGTTTTCAGAAATTTATTTCAGTGTGTCTTGGCATCTATTTCTTTGTGTTTGTCCTGTTTGGAGTTTTTGCAGCTTTTGAATCTGTAGATTTATATCTCTTGTAAAATTTGGGAAATTCATACATTATTTCTTTGAATGCTTTTTAGCCTCACTCTTTTCTCCTCTAGGACCCTCATTACCTGTGTTAGATTTTTTGGTATACTTGCACGATCCTGGAAACTCATTTCATTTTTTTAAAGTCCATATTCTCTCTGTTGTTCTGATTAGGTAATTTCTATTGGCCTATCTTCCAGCTCACTAATTCTTTCTTCTGTCTCCTCCATTCTGCTGTTGAACCCATCTACTAAGATTTCACCTAGTATTTTTTGATTCTAATAATTTCCATTTAGTCCTTTATATCTGCTGTGTTTTTGTTGAGACATTTTACTTATTTTTTTCTCTAAGATTTTCTATTTTCTAATTTATTTCAAGCATGTGTTAATTACTGAAGCAGTTTTATCATGGCTCTCTGACACACCTGGCCCTCCCCATGATCCAGAAAGTTGAAGGTCACTGTTGAGCAAAGCATGTCCTCCAAACTCCTGCTTTAGACCCAAGGCTTGGGTCCATTCTGGTTTGTTTGCTTGTGGCATACCAGTTGTTAAAATAGTTTGATCTCATCCTGAGTATATGGATGAATGAATGAATGAATGAATGATAGATATCCAGAAGCTCCAAGCTTATCTAACATATCTAAGCCATAACCAATAAAACTCCTCTGAATATGCTTTTCTCCATAGTCTGCATTATTGCTTGTTCCTCCATAGTCTGCATTATTGCTTATAACTCTTATTGTGATTGATTCCCTTCTTTTTCGTATATCAGTTCTGGCTGAGTATCTGTAGTGAGGTGTCCTAATAGTGTCATCATAACTCCAAGCCAGTTCTTCCTTGCTTCATCTCTAACCAAGGTATTATTTCCTGATAGGCTTTTTTTTTTTTTTTTTTTTTTTTTTTTTTGGTATATTCCTTATACCTCTAAAACTGGCTCACAGGTCATACTGTCACAGCCTGCCTCATGGGCCATGTGACTTATTTCACATTTTTCAGTGAAGGCTGTCTTCCTTCCTGCTGGGCTTTGGTCAAGAGAAGTTGTGAAATCACTCCCTAGGATTATATTCTGAGCCCATATCCTCCTCAAACACTAGTTCTTTGTCAACTATATCCACACCACTACCACAAGGTAGACTTCTTAATTTTTTTTAACCTATAACTGCCATCTATATCCTATAAAATTTTCTTGACTTGATATTTTTTCTTTGATTTACTGATTCTGTTATCAAGCCCCTTTACTCTGTAGACAATGTGTCCTCTAATCCTTCTTTTATGCTTCTGTCCACTCTTAAAAATTAACCATTGGCTTACTGGGAACTCACATCTTTTGGAATTTTCAGGTTTTGCATTTCTCCATTATTCACATTGTAACTTTTTTTTTCACTAGCATGATTTTGGCATCTATACATCAAAGCAAAGGTTTCAGTTAGCCAATTAGATTTTAAATCAACATGATTTGAGCAATCTTTTTTTAAAGTAATCATATTTTTCATTCTAGTTCCATTCCTAGGGAATCAAGGATGGCATTGTGTTTCATTGCCATCTCTGCTCACTTAGCAGTACTTATCCACAGTTTTGTTTTACAGAAGATTTTGAGACTGTCAAAGCACAAAGGAGTGGTGTGATTGATTATTATCACTTGCAGGAACAGTTGGGAGAAGGAGTGTCCCTCTGGGCTTATGAATTCATATAGGTGTTCCTGCTGTCTTGTCGTGACTCTACCTTCTTTATATTCTGCTTCCTTTATTGAGGATACCTGAATGAACAAATGAATAGTTGAGACTGAGAAGCAGAAGCATTCAAGTTCTGATTACCTATTTGCCAATGACAAGGCTGCCATGATTTTGGGGAGGAGATTGATAACTTTAAATCCTCATTCTGATGAAATTACTTTGAAACACTTTAACTTGGTATTTGAGATTGCTAGTTACTGACTTTTTATTATTTTTGTAGGCAGCACTCAGCATATTTGGCATGGTTGGTGGGCCACTTCTGGGCTTGTTTGCTTTGGGCATTTTGGTTCCCTTTGCCAACTCAATTGTAAGTATAAAGAGTGAATATGTGTAAAGCTTACTTTCCCAACTTTAGTAGCAGCTCTTTAATTTTTTCTTAATTTGAAAGATATAGTTCCTTTGATATCTGTCATTAGTGACTTGATGGCTTAAATTACTCATATTGACTTTGCTGGAATATAAAATAAAGTGCTATGCACTGGGATCCTGCATATGTGAAACTAAATGGAAACTGCCAAAATAATATATATTATGAATATTATATAGCTAAATCATATAATATTACAATGTAACCATATAACTAAGCATATAATATTATAGAGTATATAATGTAAATAAAGGATATATATTATGAAATAATACATATTATGTTGTACATTATACGTAATATATATTATGAATATTACATAACTACAGGAATATTTTTTGTGGATTTATCTCTTTTGCCCTTCTTGAAAGTCATTAGGATTTCTATAAATATTTTTAAAATTTAAAATAAGTTAATTAGGGGCGCCTGGGTGGCTCAGTGGGTTAAAGCCTCTGCCTTCGGCTCAGGTCATGATCCCAGGGTCCTGGGATCGAGCCCCATATCGGGCTCTCTGCTCGGCAGGGAGCCTGCTTCCTCCTCTCTCTGCCTGCCTTTCTGCCTACTTGTGATCTCTATCTGTCAAATAAATAAATAAAATCTTTTAAAAAAATAAATAAAATAAAATAAGTTAATTAACATATAGTATATTATTAGCCTCAGAGGTCACTAAACTCTACCTCTAAAAATCACTAGGATTTAAAGAAAGGAGATCAACAGGCTCAGATGTGAAAGAGTTAAGAGCAGTAGAGCTGAGGATACCTGTGAATAGTCAGAGTACAGCAAAGGGAAGTAATAAGATAAGCTCCTCACCATCTTGACCAGAGAGTTTATATTCCTGATATTTAAAGCAATAGTTCCAATATCATGGTTCTGGCCCCAAAGGGGTGATCATAATTGGAATAGTATCCAGAATGAGGTAATACCTCTCTTCTACACAGACATTTTTGTGCTTTAAAGTACTAAATTTTGTTTGGAATAAATGAAATTGAAATTATTTCTCTGAAAGCCAGGAGAAACTCCACTGGGTAGTCCTGCTATAAGCTGAAGTTCAGGAAAAACTGATAATGTATGTATGGTTGTTTCATACAGTCATAGAATAACTGCAGAACTATGACTTTGAATTTAGAATTCCATTTTCTTCATCATTATGGATTGGTAAGATGGCTACTCATAAAGGCCATTACCATTATTATTAATAAGCACTGGATGTTATACACAAATAATGAATCATGGAACAAAAACTGATGATATATTGTATGGTAACTAACATAACAAACATAAAATAAATAAAAAAATAAAAAATAATTCTTAAGGAAAATAATTCTTAACAGATGGTAGCTACACTTGTGGTAAACATAGCATAGTGTATAGAGATGTTGACTCACTGTGTTGTATCCTGAAACTAATGTAACATTGTTTATCAACTGTACTCAAATAAAATTTTTTAAGAATAATTATTCTCAAATAATTGTCAATGAAGTATCATATGAAAAGCTAGTTTGGTAGAAATTAATCACAATGAAAGAATAGTTTGTATCTACCTCAGAATGTTGAAGCTTTGATTAGACTCTGGATTATTAAATGCACAGTGGTTTACTGAGTGTCTGAAACATTAAGAAAGACTGTTTTTTTTTTGGTGTCTTTCTGCACGGTTTCCATTTTATTTCTTTTTTTTAATAATCATTTTTTTTAAATTTCAGCATAACAGTATTCATTTTTTTTGTACCACACCCAGTGCTCCATGCAATCCATGCCCTCTCTAATACCCACCACCTGGTTCCATTTACTGCCACCATGGGTTGCCTCCAGAATAGCTATAGCAGACTTGGTTCCATATAACCTTTTCTGGGAAGTATGATATTATTATTCCTGTCATAGGAGGTACCTCTTTTTACTATACTCACATTTTTCATCAGCAGAGTATCTACCCTTGCTTTGGAATGGACTTCCTGCCTTCCTGTCTCCCTCCATCCTTCCCTCCCTTCCTCTCCTTCCCCTTTTCTCCTTCCCTTCCTTTGCTTTTCCTCCTCCTTTCTTTCCCCCCTCCTTCCCTCCCTTCCTGTCATTCATTCATTGAATATTTATGAGCTAAGCACTGTCCTGGGAATAGAGAACACTGAATATTTTTGCACTCATGGTCTTTATAATTTTGTGGATCTTTGATCAAGCCATGTACAATGCTGAGAAGCAAGTCTGGCTTGTCAACGGCTGGCCACACTACTATTCCAATCTCACATTATTGAAAAAATATTTATTGCATGCCTGCTATATGTCCAGCACTCTAGTAAGTGCTGGGATACCAAAACCAAAAAAATCTAATTCTGCTTTCAAGGTTCACTACTTAATGAAAGAGCTCATAGTGTTTGTCCCCAACATAAATCTTCTGATCTTGTCATCAGCCTTCATCTTATCCCATCAATACACCATTCTTTTTTCCTACCCTATGATTTTGCTTGTGTTCTTTCCCTTACTTCAAATATTCTCCCCTATCTTCTCTATGGGGAGCCCAAGGCACAGGCTGCCCTGTCTGGTCAGTATTCTTAAAAGAAGGGGGAAATTTTCACCACAGAGGAAGAGGCCCACCAGCTCAAGGTTTGCTTTTGTCCCCATCATTTGGAACTAGGGTTTAAATCATTCAAGGTCCAGTAGAATATCTGGACTGCTGGTGAAAAGCAGAAGTGGGGAACCCATTTTCCAAAGATTGAGAAACCAAATGTCTTCAGAGGGGACATCTCTTTTTGTCTTTAGAAATACATGGTGTGGTTGTATGCACCATTGCAGTCATTTGTGAAAATTGCTTCCTATTTTCCTCCTAGCTACCCTGAAGCACAATTACAATCATGCATGTTGTTAAATATGGGAATAAACTCTGAGTCTGCTTTTCCCTTCATAGTCTTTTGTGCATTTGGCATACTGTTTGTTCACAGGTTAAGCAAAAATAAAGGGGACAGTTGGCCTGGGGTCAACCATGTGATTGTTGTAGTTCTTTGGGTGTGAAGAGAGGAGGATGCAAAAAAAGACTGCTAGCCATGGAAGCAGAGTAGAAGGAATAGAATTATGAGATTAGCAAAAAGAAAAATGAGCAGGTTGAGATAAGGATATGGAAAAGGAATGGAGTTACTGGATTCCCAGGGCTCTGAGATGAGGGACCACTGGCTCATGCTGCCCTTGACAAGAAGCAATGATCTTGAGGGAGAGAATGATTTTAGGAGAGAAGCTGGTAAATCTGGCTTGGACCATGCTAAGCTTAATCTTCTGACATTAATTTCTATCTCAAAGAAAACTACATTATTTTTCTTTTAAAAACATTCTTGTTTTACAGGGAGCAATTGTTGGTTTGATGGCTGGATTTGCTGTTTCTCTGTGGGTTGGGATTGGAGCTCAACTTTATCCTCCACTGCCTGAGAGAACTATGCCATTAATCCTTGAAACCTATGGCTGTAACAGCACACACAATGTGACAAATTGGGTGACAACCACAGAAATGCCATTTTCTACTAGTGCTTTTCAAGTACACAGTGTGGAAAGGTATTGAATTAAGCTTCATAATGTGATATTTTAAAGAAATGCATGTGACAGGTAGAGAACCCCAGTTGCCCAGTTGCTGCAATTTTCCCTAATTCTGAAATGGGTAGAACCCTTGTGGCTTTTTGGCTATAGTATTTTGTTTGGTAACAGCAAAAATTGATGTATATTCTTAATTTTAATAAAAACCTCTGCCTCACTTACAGATCTGAAGAAAAATTGAATAATAACCAAAGAATTCTGTTATGGTTAAATGCTACCAAATATCAGCTCCAGTCGAATGAAAAATCATCTTGGTGAACTAAAGTGTTTTAAAATGAAAAGCAAAATTATAAAAGAAACACTGCTTATATAGGCTTTAAGTATAGCCTTTATAGTCTAAAGCTACAGTCATCTAAATATGTTAGATCATTGCTGTTTGTTTAGATTTAAAGATTCCTGATCTTTAGAGCACTGGCAATGAGTTACAGCTGTGATCAACTCACTTGCTGGAATTTTCTGTATGCAGTATACTTTTGGGCTCTGGGTCCTTATTTCATCTGATTTAATGAAATGATGTAGATCTATAGGTAGATGAGTGTTTTATAATACAGTTGATATAAGAGCAAGATTTCTTTAGTGGGCAATTAAATGTCTAGCCTTAAAACCTAAACCCTTTGGAGATATGCAAGGAATATAAAAATGAGGCTGCTGCCCCCAAATTATTGCCCCCAGTTTCAGCTTTCCTGGAATGAAATCATTTAAGACTCATTCCCTTTGGGTCAAGACGTGCTCTCTCCCTTTTAAACTGGAAGCACTCCTGAGAGAAAGAATGTGACTTATTATTAGTGATTCATGTTCAAATCATGAGTTCCTAACTACAAGAATGCTTGCCAATGGAAGTTCAAGGCTGATAAATGCTGCATGGGTAGAGAGAAAAGGTAGTTCCAGAACCTGAGACATTTTGGAGGAAGGTTTGACTAGGTGGGGTGCCATGGGGTGAGGGGCAGTGAAATGCCGAAAGCAGTTTGGACAAGCATGAAAACACTAATGTTTGTGTGTGAAGGGGGTAGTTGTTAGAGTTAGAAAGGGAGAAAAAAAATAATTGAAGGGTACGTGGGAGGACATTCAGGATATACTTCTTGTTTCACAATTTTGCTTAACATTTGTCCTGGTTATGTAAATATCTCTCTTAATTTAAGAGTCTGAGACAAAATAGTTATTTGGATTCTGAAACAAATAAATTAGCTGAAGTTTAGTATGTACCTGGTACCATAATGATTACTTTTATATGTTAGCTTGTTTATAAAATAACAGATAATAAATAAGAATTTCTAAGAATAAATGATATACTTAGGTCTGAGCTGGCCATTTATGTAGTATCACAAGAAGTCGTCCCCTCTTATTCACTGTGATTCCTGCCTTCCAGGAAGTTATAGTCTAGCTGGAGAGAGTGTGCTAATATACACAAAACAATTAATTCAGTAAGCACAGTAAATATAAAACTAGCACATGGTAAATAGTAATAAATACTTGATGAAGATCTGTTAAAAGAATGAATATAAACAAAGTTGGAGTGATTAGCATCAAGACTTTAGAGAGGTAGTACTACTTGAAGGATACAGAGGTTGGCTGGAAGGAGAGGGTCGGGAAAGTCACAGAAAATGACCAAAAGGGAAGTTGGACAAGAAAATAAACACTTAAACAATACCCTCTGGTAAGTGGTATTCATAGGTGATCAAGAGAGGCACCCTTCCTGGTAGAGTCAAAGAAACCTTCTTAGAGGAAGATTAATCAGGTGACCAGGGTTGGACAGAAGGGACAGACAGAAGTGGTGCATATGGCACAGTGGGGAAACAGTATATCTGAAAGCATGAAGGTCTGAAGCCACGTGGTATCTTAGGAAATCATACATAGTTCAGTGTCCCTAGAGTACAAGGGGAATAAACTACACAGCTAAAGATGAAACAAAATATTCTTTGGTTGCCTAGATAACATGTTTCCATTACCTAGATACAGTTTTTATTCTTTAAATTCCTTAATGCTTGATGGGTATATATTGGTAGCCCATCATAGTTTTAATTTGCATTTCCTTTATGATCAACTACCTTCAATACCTTTTTTTTTTTTTAAGATTTTATTTATTTGACAGAGAGAAATCACAAGTAGGTAAAGAGGCAGGCAGAGAGTGGGGGAGGGGAAGTAGGCTCCTTGCTGAACAGAGAGCCTGATGCGGGGCTGGATCCCAGGACCCTGAGATCATGCCACCCAGGCGCCCCCATTCAATACCTTTTTATTACATGGGGTTGTTTGTTTGTTTGTTTGCCATTTCCATTTGTATATGTACCTTTGTGACTTGGTTGTTGAATTCTTTAATCCAGCTTTAAATGGATTCTCATTTATTTTCTTATTTATTTGAGAATTTGTGATATATTCTAGATAAAATACATATTTTGAAATATTTTTCTCCTGCTTTGTGGGTTGCCTTTTTACTCTTGTATTGATACTATTTTGGTGGTCAGAATTTCTTCATTTTAATTAAGTTCAACTTATAAGTCTTTTTTTTTTCCCCTTTCAAGTTTTTATTTAAATTCCAGTTAGTTAACACATTGTGTAATATTAGTTTCAGGAGTAGAATTTATTGATTCATCACTTATAGAACACCCATTGCTCATCACAAGTACCCTCCTTGATGCAATCACCCATTAAACCCATCCCTCCACCCACCTACCTTCTAGCAACCTTCAGTGTTCTATATAGTTAAGAGTCTGTTTTATGGTTTGCTTCTATCTTTTCCCCCTCCATGTTCATCTGTTTTCTTTCTTAAATTCCACATATGACTGAATACGGTATTTGTCTTTCTCTGGCTGACTTATTTTGCTTCACATAATATACTCTAGCTCCATTTATATTATTGCAAATGACAAGATTTCATTCTTTTTTGTGGCTAATATTCTGTTGTGTATATGTACCACATCTTCTTTAACTATTCATCAGTCAATTGACTTTTGAGCTCTTTCCATAATTTGGCTATTTAGTTGAAAATGCTGCTATAGGGGCACCTGGGTGGCTCAGTGGGTTAAGCCTCTGCCTTTAGCTCAAGTCATGATCTCAGGGTCCTGGGATGGAGCCCCATGTCGGGCTCTCTGCTCAGTGGGGAGCCTGTTTTTTCCCTTCTCTCTCTGCCTGCTACTCTGCCTACTTCTGATCTCTCTTGGTCAAATAAATAAATAAAATGAAAAAAAAAAAGAAAAGAAAATGCTGCTATAAGCATTGAGGGGGTCATGCATCTCTTTACATCCTTATTTTTGTATCCTTTGGGTAAGTACCTACTAGTGCAATTGCTAGATCATAGCTTTCTTTTTAAGTTTTTGAGGAATCTCCATTCTGTTTTCCAGAGTGCCTACACCAGTTTGCTTTCCCACCAGCAGTGTAAGAGGGTTCTCCTTTCTCCACATCCTCACCAATATTTGTTGTTTGCTGTGTTAATTTTAGCCATTCTGACAGGTGTGAGGTGATATCTCATTGTAGTTTTGATTTGTATTCCTCTGATAATGAGTGATGTTGAACATCTTTTCATATCTGTTAGTTATCTGTATGTCTTCTTTGGAGAAATATCTATTCATGTCTTCTGCCCATTTCTTAATTGGATTATTTTTGGGGGGTGTTGGGTTTGATAAATTCTGTATAGCTTTTGGATACTAATCCTTTATCAGATATGTCATTTGCAAATATCTTCACCCATTCTGAAGGCTGCTTTTTAGTTTTGTTGATTGTTTCTTCATTGTGCAGAAGCTTTTTTATCTTTATGAAGTCCCAGTAGTTAATTTTGCTTTTGTTTCCCTTGCCTCTAGTAAGAAGTTGCTACGGCTGATGTCAAAGAGGTTGCTCCTGTGTTCTCCTCTAGGATTTTGATGGTTTCCTGTCTCACATTTATGTCTTTCACCCATTTTGAATTTATTTTTGTGTGTGGTGTAAGGAAGTGGTCCAGTTTCATTCTTTTGCAAGTTGCTATCCAGTTTTCCCAAGACAATTTGTTGAAGAGATAGTCTTTTTTCCATTGGATTCTTTCCTGCTTTGTCAAAGATTAGTTGGTCATATAGTTGTGGGTCCATTTCTGGGTTTTCTACTCTTTTCCACTGATCTATATGTCATTTTATATCAGTACCATACTTTCTTAGTCACTACAGCTTTGTAATATAGCTTGAAGTCCAGAATTGTGATACCTCCAGCTTTGCTTTTCTTTTTGAAGTTTGTTTTGGCTATTTGGGGTCTTTTGTGGTTCCATACAAATTTTAGGATTGTTTGTTCTAGCTCTGTAAAAAAAAATGCTGGTGATATTTTGATAGGGATTGCATTAAATGTGAGATTACTTTGGGAAGTATAGACATTTTAAGAATATTTGTTCTTCCTATCCATGAGCATGGAATATTTTCCCATTTATTTGTGTCATCTTCAGTTTCTTTCAAAAGTGTTTTGTAGTTTTCAGAGTGTACCTCTTTCACTTCCTTGTTTAGGTTTATTCCTAGATAGCTTATGGTATTTGGTGCAATTTAAATGGAATCGGGTCCTTGATTTCCCTTTCTGCTACTTCATTATTGGTATATAGGAATGCAACTGATTTCTGTACATTGATTTTGTATCCTATTACTTTACTGAATATATGTATTAGTTCTATCAATTTCTGGTGGAGTATTTCAGGTTTTCTACATAGAGTATCATGTCATTTGAGAATTAAACCAAAAACTGTAACAAGAGATAAAGAAGGACAGTATATCATAATAAAGGGGTCTATACAGAAAGAAGATCTAACAATTATAAGTACTTATGTTCTCAACTCAGGAGTACCCAAATATATAAAACAACTGATAACAAAGGAGATCATTGATAATAATACAATAACAGGAGGGGACTTTAACACCCCACTTATACCAATGACAGATCATCTAAACAGAAAATCAACAAAGAAACAATGGCTTTGAATGACACACTGGATAGATGGATTTAACAGATATATTCAGAACATTTCATTCTAAAGTAGTAGAATACACATTCTTTTTGAGTGTATATGGGACATTTTCCAGAACAGATCACATACTAGGTCACAAATCAAGCCTCAATAAGTATAGAAAGATTGAGATCATACCATGCATATTTTCTGATCACAATGCTATGAAACTTAATGTCAACCATAAGAAAAATTTGAAAAGATCACAAATACATAGAGGTTAAAGAATATCCTACTAAAGAATAAATTATCAGTCTTTCCCTATATTGTTAGTCCTTTGTGTGTTCCAATTAAGAAATCCTTGCCTATCTTGAGGTCATAAAGAGATTCCTCTAATTTTTCATTTAAAAGCTTTATTGTTAACTATTTCCATTAATGAAATGTAATCTACTTTGGAATTGATTTCTGTAGGTGCTATAATCAAGACTCATTTTTTTCCCATATGGATATTCAGTTAACTAAATACCACTTATTGGAAAGACCTTCCCTTTGCCCCATTGCAAATGAGTATCAAATTTAACTAAACCAGATACTGTCTTCTTGGTCTGTTTCTTGATTCTCTATTCTGTTCTATTTTGTCTGTTTTTCCACCAGTAATACTGCATGATCTTAATTTCAATAGCTTACCTCAATGTGTTTCCCTTCTTTCTGGGATCTTGGCCTCTCAATTTCTAATTGCCTGCCTGCCCCATTCCTCCACTTTTTATCCATTGTTCTTAGCCAGATGTGTTCTAAATCAAGCTACTCTATTAAAGCTAAAAGTGGGATTCTAGAACAATCATTTTAGAAACATCAGGTCATGTTACTCCTCCATTTAAAATACTGCCACAAGTGCCATTGCCCAGAGTAAAACCCAAACTTCATACAAATCTAACTACAACAACAAAAAAGACCTCTGCCTTCCTCTCGTCTTGTATTTCTCTTATGTTGCTAATTATGATATAGTCAGCTGGTGTTTACCTCTGTCTAGGATGCTTTCCTCAAAAACTTCTTGTTATTCATATCTCAGTTCAAACGTCGCTTCACAAATGCTTTCTCTGACATTAGGGTATAGTTAGTTCTTTCCACTCTGTTTCACATTACCTTGTTTTATTTTCATTATAGTGCTTTTCACCAGTGGAAATTATTGTATTTATTAGCTTACTTATTTACTGTATTTCTCTTCCCATTAGAATGCAAATTTTATGAGGGCAGGAGCCTTATTAACTTTTTTTATGGTAGACTTTCCAATGACAAGAACAGTGCTTGGGACATAAAGCAGAGTTGAATGAATACAGATGGACATTTAGTATTATAGCGTATGGTCAAGATTAAGTCAGGCTTTTAATTCTTGATCCAATAAGATAAAGATGGAACAGTAGTTTATAACATTAAAAACATTGTTAAAATTTTTATTTTGACTTTGCCATTCATGAAAATTATCGACACTGCTGTAGTTGCTAGGTGCATTATATAAAATCTTACAGTTATGCTTTTGTTCTTTCTTAGGACTCCGCTGATGGATAACTGGTATTCTTTATCATATCTATACTTCAGCACTCTGGGAACTTTGGTAACGGTATTCATGGGAATGCTAATCAGTTTACCAACAGGTAGATATCTAAACATTACTATTGCTGTATTTACCTAGATATCAGTTTTTACTCTATCTCTTTTATAGCTATTTATGTTATTTTTCTATAGGCCTGTTAACAACTAGGTTAATTACTTGTTCCATTTTCCTCGTGGGAAATTTGAATGCCTGTACTTGAAAGCAGAAGACCCTATTTGAACCTTTGTTCTGCCACTCACTAGCTGCATAAACTTAGGGAAGTCCGTATGGCTACTCTGAGGCTTAGCTATCTTATGTGTAAATGAGGATAATGGCAATTGACTTGCTTTTCTCACAGGTTGCTGTAAGAAAAAATAAAGTGCTTGACAAAATTGTATGTAGCTACTGCAATGCTAGGATTCTACATGTATTATTACAACAGTCCTGTCTCATGATATTTTCATTGTCCTATGCTGGCTTTTTGTAAACTGTAAAGAAGTATACAATAGGAATGATCATTACAATCTTTACATCTGAACATAGTGTGAGGCTTTTTTCACATGTCCATAAATTTTAAAATGTTATTTAAAAAAACATATTGATAATACACATCTTATACACTGCTCTCTGGGATTGCTATAGAGCTGTTACCCTGGGACTTCATTTTGTCTTCATTTTGTGAATTCCCTTGGTCTCCCTCCTGTGTTGGATTCCCTATTGCCAGTATTCCATTATTTATAATTCTTGTTTATCCCCTTAATTGAATAGAGCACATCCTTTAGCATGTTCTTGAGAAAGGGTAGACAAGAGATTTAGAGATGTGGTGTCTTTTGAAAAAATGTCTTTAATTCTCCCTTATACTTGATTGATTGTTTGTTTGAGTAGAGAATCCTAAAAAAATAGCTTTCTTATTTCTGAAAGGATGTCTTAATTTTCTCCTAGATGATTATGTTTTTACTGAGAATGCCAGTGCCATGCTACCTGTTGGCAGTTTGCATGTGACTCATTTCACAATGATTGCTTTGCCCTAAGCCCTTGTTATGGCGTTTTCAATCTGGAGACCTATGTCCTTCAGTTTGTGGACATTTTCCTATATTATTATTTTTGTAATTTCCTGTGATTTTCTGTTTTCACTTTCTGGAAACTCTTGTTAGTCAAATGTTTTAGTCTCAGACAGTTATTCTAATTTTCTTCTCTTTTCTCTTGTATTTTCCATTACTGTGTCTTTTAGGTCTACTACATGGGATACTTTTCCAATTACTTTTCCAATAATTCTCAAAGGAGCACTCTGATCCAGTTTTGAGAATAGTCTATAAGGGAAGGAGGGCAGGTAGGAGGCTATTGCAATAATCCAGGTGAGCGACTGTGGTAGCTCAAAGCCGGGTAGCCGTATAGAGCTAGTGAGAAGTGCCAGACTTCCTGATTTCCTGCATTCCCTCACCCATGTACATCCATAGTAACCAGAGGAGGGGAAGGCAGCCCCACAGCCCTCTTCATCAAAGGTGCAGTCACTAGTCAAAAATCCTATACTTTGTCCTAGTATGTCTGATGTCTTTGTTTACTTTATGCTAAGTGGCACTATGCCACTTGAAGGAATTCTGTCAATCATTGTTTTGTGGCTCCTGAATAGCACTGCCTTTCACACTTCTGCGATACTTATATTTACAATTAACAAATTATATTAATAATTAGTAGTGTATTAATATGACAACAATTATATTAATTATAATTATTATATATTCAATGCATAATTACACATTTATAATAAAGTTTGTAGTTATTTATTACCTCTTAAACACATTTTAAACTATTCTCTTTCGTTTCAAAAATGACTGTGCCTTTCTTCATAAATAAAATTACCAACACAGTAGATTTATTCTTCTGTCTGTTTTGATATATTTTAAGATGGATTTTAAAGTTTCTTACCAGTAACCCAATTATTCAGGTCAGGAATACACCTAAAGAGTCTCCTTGTACTATTTGACCTCAGATCCTTATTCAACACATTCCTTTTTCTTTAAGAAAATGGAGTATCGGAGCATTCCCTTTGAGAACTCCTCTTTTTTTCCCTTAAAATTTTTATTCTGATAACCATATATGCCTGCTTCTTTTGTTTTATAAAGTCATGCTTTACCTAGGTGAGCAGGCATCCAGTGATAAAAAAAAACAACTCAACTTCATTATTTCATAAATGACTTATTTCCACTTCACAGCAGCAATGAGCATCTCAAGAAAATAATCTAGAAACATGAAATCCTAACACTATTTGAGAAATAAATAGGAAGATTCAGTAAGAATTCCAGGTATACAGACTGGGTTGGCATTTCAGTTTCACCCTACGTGTACTGTGTACCATGAGTGGGTCTGTCTCCTCATCAGTAAAATGGGGTAAATAAGGCCTTAAAAAAACCATAAGCTATGAGTACAGTAATTGTTTTACTCATGTCTGTCTCTCCAACACCTAGTAGAGTCTCTAGCAGATGGTAGGCACTCAACAATGTCGAAGGAATTAATTTTAAGTTGATTTCATCCCCAGAAGAGCAGAGGCTCCCATAATTAAAAGCCTAATATTTGTACTGAATTGGTGGTTCCCAAATATTAGAGAGCATGAAGATCACTTTGGAAATTTGGTTAAAATCAGGATTCAGTGGCCCCGCTCCAGAGTTTTGAACTGGGTTGGTCCAGGTTGAAGTCTAGGAATCTGCATTTGATGTATGTCTGCTAGATGATTTGTATAAAAGTAGTTTGAGAACCACACAATTTTAAAAAGCTTTGTCTTTGATCTACGAATAAAATATCAAAACAAAGAATAATTTTTTATAAAACAGAATGCTAGGGAAGAAGAGTTGAATCAAATACCAATCATTATATTGATTTTAACTTAACTAATGTATTCAGCATTTCATAATTTCCTGCATTTCCTCATGCACCTCTACGTTCATAGCCATTAAACTGGGGAAAGGCACCTCCTCTGTCTGCAGCAGAGGCAGATGGCTTGATATTTGATTGGTAGATCACAAAGGTTGCTTTTAAATCCATTTCCTTATGAGTCTTGGGCTCTTAGGTTAAGTACCATACGAGGTAGGTGGCTTGCATTTAAGAACCATCTCATTCATCTTCAAACACTAGACTCATTTGTCACAGTTAGAGGCTTACAGAATCTAAGACCAAGAGAAGGGAAATGGTGAGCCAAGTCTTCAGCACGATGTAAAAGATACTCTTTCTCTGCGTGTTTTATGAGTGTGTAGAGTTGAATGTGCACAAGGTAAATTCTTGTATGATGGGCCGTCACTGGGTAGTTACAGATACCTTTTAACATTGTAAATGATGTAAATGTTTTTCAGGAGGAAGGAAACAAAACTTAGACCGCAGATTCCTATTAACCAAAGAGGACTTTTTATCCAATTTTGACATTTTTAAGAAAGTAAGTTGCTTTCTTTCTCCTTACATTAGTAAGACCGTGCTTTTATTACCAGGATAGCATACTAGTTAGTCCTTGGACTCTCTTTTGAACTCTGATGGGCAAGGAAAATATTTGCCCTATTCTTTGATTTCTATTGTATATCTTGTCTTCAATAGACGGCAAAGCTGATTTAGAGGGAAAAAAGCAGTAACAATTATTTAGAATTGAATAGTTCCTTTTTTTGGCTAATCACTGTTAACATTTTCTTTTAGAAGGAGCATATTTTAAGCTATAAATCTCACCCGGTAGAAGACGGTGGAACTGATAATCCTGCCTTCAACCATATTGAACTGAACTTCCCAGATCAAAGTGGCAAGATGAGTGGGACTCATTTGTGAAGCATCTGTGATACTAGATGATCTTAAACAGTGACTCAGTTACATATGTTTCCTAAGATAATTGGACCAGATTTGGACTTCTTTTTGGGGGGAGGGTTCGATAATGAGTGAAGTTTTGGGGGAGCCTTTTAGGGGTAAAATTTTGTTGAAGCAAAGTGCTGATTCTTCGCTTACTATATTCCTTAACTGATGCTACTCTGGAGTTAAGAATTTCAGCATCAGCATTTTCCTTTATTTCTCTTTTATTTTAATGAAGATGTCATTGTGAAAGTTATGACCACATATTGCTAAAGGATTAATATATACATATACACACCTACTTGATGGTCAAAAAAGAGTATTTTAAATTTGGGCATTATTAAAAATATTTTCTATGCATTTGTTACTAGCATATAAGTTTTGGGGTTTCCCAAAATCAGATATAATACTGAAAAGACCTTTTGTCCTTCTACAACATATTGTATTTTTAGGAAACAGTGAGATGATGAATCCATGTTGTCTAGATCTTTGCTTCTCACTGATCCATATCAGCCCTATCAGGGAGCTTATTAACTCTGGAACCAATTCTGGCTCAGGAAGGTGGTAATCAAGAAGCATCCTGTTTGGGAGAGAACATAGGCCCAGTGATCAAGGTCTTTTTGGTTCTACTTACCTATTCTTGTGCCTTTTTGCTAATTATCTACAACTCCTGGCCATTGGCTGTTTATATTGTCTTACACCCCAGTTCTTATATGCAATCCCAATTTCTGACCCATCAGCTCAGATTTTGTTGTACACTTTACTTTTCTTGTCTTCCTAGTTTTCTATTTACTATGTTACCTTGGACTTGTATATGTCTTGAAATACCCAGTGTGAATCATGCTACCCCTGATCCTGGTTTACAAAGTCACAGACTATAAATTAGAAATCCTATGAACCTGATACTGACTAAAGTATTTATAACATAAGTACTTAACGGATTTGGTCACCCAAGAACATTTACATGATTAAAATGATTAAGTTCCATGGAATTGCATGATTATGTTGAATGATACTAATTTGAATGTCAACTAATTTACAGTCAGTTGAATTTAAGTGTACATACATATGCTTAGAAGTCTTGAATTCTAGTGTATTCACCCATTTAAAGACCTACATTACATAGGTAAACACACTACTTTTTAATTAATGTTCTGAATTACCAACTATCTGCTTTCTTTCATGCTTTAAAATTTCAAGTAGAAATCTTAAAGTTTATTTTGTTTATCTTGCTACATTTCCAGCTAAGGGTTTGGTCACAGACTTTTATCAATAACATTTTTTTTCTACAGTTCTTGCATTAGATACTGTTTAGAAATGTGTTTGTTTGTTTGTTTGCCCTACAATATTTTAAAATAATATGAGAAACATTTAGGTACATTAAATAGGTTTTAGAATTAAATATGTTCTTGCTTATTTTCTGATATTTAGGTAAGTATGCTTTGTACTTTTAAAGGTTGCCAACTGAAAACATGAAGCAATAAAAAAATAGGAAGTAGCATTTATCTAAAGAAAGATTTATGTAACATTTAAATTAATGATGTGTTAATGTATTTCATATGTGTATAGATGTTATTTTTTAAATCAATATGTTTGTAAGCATATATCAAACTTTGTAAATCTTTCTACAATTTTTAATAAGTAGGGAGATATCACTTATTTGTTTCATGCAAGTGTGATTTGAACTATTATTTATTTAGTAAGTGTAAATGCACATGTGTGTAGAATGCTTCAGTTTTGGAAATCAAAGTCCAGTTATATAAATTTTTCCTTATCTACAAAGATTATGCCACGTGTTCTTAATGATATGATACTTCTATTCTTGTGCACTTTATTTAACCAAATACATCTTTGTGACTTTGGGAACTGTTGGTATTTTACCTTTATGAACACATAAGAGTGCCAGACCACATTCTTAAGAAATCAAATTACTGTTATTAATTATGAAAAAATCATTTATCTTATCTGAATCTTTGGATAAAACCACAAAGAAGTAAAACATTAATATATCATAGTGTGAATGAAATAATCTAATGTTCTTAATTATTTCTGAATCACAACAGTCCCAACAGGAGGGAAAAGCCACATAAGTAGTCTGTTTTCATTTTGTCATTGACAGATTATATGACCTTGAATTTAACCTTAATCTCCTCTAATGATGGAACTCTAAACACTTAACTACCTCACAGAAATAATGTGAATATAAAAGATTAAATAGCACTTTATTAGCTCAAATAGTATTACTTAAAATTTTAATATGATTGGAAATAAAAATTTGAGACAAAGGTTACTTGTTTAAAAATAAAAAGACAAATTGTTAAGAATTTGCAATGTAATGATGTGGATGTAGTTCCATCTCTAAAAAATATGTGCTGTAGAAAAACTGAACTATATTTAGGAATCAGCAGGATTATTCAGAGAGAATGGAAACTTTACTTAAAAAAAAGCAACCAGTCATATTCACTCCATAGAGAAATGAAACTTTTATATGTAGGATATAAATGGTATAAATGTATATGCATCTATTTGATTGCTTATGTATTAATTTTTTCTCTAGACCAGTGGTTCTAATGGGGCAGTTTTACACTTGCATTTGAACATTTGGAAATATCTGGATACATTTTTGGTGGTCACAGTGGTGATGAGGTACTACTGGCATCTAGTGGATAGAATTTAGGTTTACTACTAAATATCCTGTGATACATAGGACAACCCCTCTTCACAACAAAAAATGATCCTGCCCCAAGTATCAATAGTGTTGAGTTTAAGAAATCCTGCCCTAGAGGTTAGGGTTGCAATCTTGATTTTCCTGAAGTCACACATGCTGGTTTTATTCCTTTAGGGAAATTGCCTTGACTCTTCTATCTGATCATTCTCATCTACAGGGGAGGATTAAAGTGTCACTGGAATACACAATGTTAGGATACAGGATAATAACCATATATTTTCTTAGTATTTTGAAAATATTAAAGAATATAAAATGTGAATAATTATGAAAACAACTTTTATGAAGGTTTCATTTTGCAACATGATTTCCAACATTAACATACATTAGGATGAAGGAAATATTAAATACATGAATATGAAGATTTCATAATTTTGCTTTACCTATGAATATCCCAGAAAGTAGTTTATTTGTTAACAACTTATCCATGATATACACACAAGGGACAGGGATAGGGTTAAGATCAGGAGAATGACTCACTGTGTCAATTCTTATAGGAAATTCTTAGTTTTTCCCGATAAAAGTTGTTGATACAGAGTCAACTGAGTGCATGCAGTGACTGAAAATTCACCACATAATTTAGTTACTGTAAAATTTACTTTTATATTTAAGTCATGTGCCCATTGTGAAAAATCTTGAGGGAATTGAACATTATAATGTAAAACAAGTTTGCATTTCTGATTTTTCAGCTTGCTGATTAAACTCTCCACAAGTGTCTTTGCAGTTGTCTGTTCTTGGAGAAGAAAATGTCAAAATGAATATGATTAAGTTTATCAGCTTTTACAGAGAATTATTTCCACTCTACCACAAAAGGACTCTTTCTGTATACTACATTCAGATTATAAAAGAATAAGCAAATAAACATGCAGAACTTTTGTTGCTGAAGAATATTTTATGCGTTGAATGATTAACATTGTATTTGAAAATAAAAAATCACATCTTCAGTCCTGAAAATTTCTTAGCTATTATTTCTTTGAATATTCTCCCCCTCCCATTTTCTCTGTCCTATAACTCTTTAACTCCTATTAGAGGAAGAGCATACCTCTTTATTCTATCCTCCATGTCTCCTAATCTGGTTTATATTTTCTATATAAAATTTAAAAATTTCAGGATACATCACATACATATATGTGAAAGGTCACTTTCTTTCTGGCTTTCCCTACTCTGCTACTTAATTTGTCCATTGAATTTTCCATTTCAATGACTATTTTCTTCATTTTCAGAGTTGGATGTGCTTTTTCAAATCTTTCAGTTTCCTATTCTTTCCTAACTGGATTCTTTCATTGTGATTCCAAACTATTCTTTTTTTTTTTTTTAAAGATTTTATTTATTTATTTGACAGAGAGAGAGAGGGAGATCACAGGTGGGCGGGGGGCGGGCGGTGAGGGGGGAAAGCAGGCTCCCTGCTGAGCAGAGAGCCCAATGCAGGGCTCCATCCCAGGACCCTGAGATCATGACCTGAGCTGAAGGCAGAGGCTTAACCCACTGAGCCACTCAGGTGTCCCCCAAACTATTCTTTTATCTCTAATAATTTTAACCATATTTATTTCTCTTATGCTATTTGAAATTCTTGATGTGCTAATTCTTCTACTTGTTCATTTGCTTACTCTCCACCATGGTGGTTTCTTTCCTTATATAGTTGAACATTTAACTGAAATTTTATCTTCAGTAGAGGTTGTACTTTTTTTAGTGAGCGTTCCTTGGGCTCCAGTTAGTGAAAGTCTTTACAGAGAAGTTTTAGATCAGCTTTGGCTGTGCCCATGTTTTAATTGCCTTCTACCAATCTTAATTCATTATCTCAGGTTAGGACTTCTGTCTTAGGTTCACAGTATCAGTTTTCATCCTCTATCCATAGATGGCACAGGGTTTAGGGTTGGAGCCTCAAGTAACTTGTTCTCCATCAAAGACTTGGAGAGAGGCAAACTTTCTTTAAAATTCCCTTTTAAATAATGGGGCAGTTCTTCAAGGCTTCAGGCTTTTGGTGATATTTGCAACAGAGTTCTCACTCTCACATTCTGGAAGCAGAAACCATATCTTAGTCCACATGAGGACCCATAAACTCATTAGGAACTATACCTTCATAGGTTATTCAACACCTGTTTGGCTTTTTTTTTAATTGAGGTAAAATTGATTTATAATTAGTTTTAGGTGTACCACGTAATTTGGCATTTGCCTGTACAGCAAAGCGATCACCAGAATTAGTTACTCTCCGACACCTTTTTTGCCCACCTCCCAGCCCCCTTCTTGTCTGACAACCATCAATCATTTTTCTTTTCGATATTGGGACCTGGTGTTTCCCTTTTCATCCTTTTAAAAAAATATATGTATTTGTATATTTGACAGAGAGAGAGAGTAGACAGAGAGGCAGGCAGAGAGAGAAGGAGAAGCAGGTTCCCTGCTGATCAGGAAGCCCGATGTGGGGCTCGATCCCAGGACCCTGAGATCATGACCTGAGCTGAAGGCAGAGGCTTAACCCACGGAGCCACCCAGGCACTCCTCCTTTTCCATTCTTACAAGTTTAATTATGTATTAAAATTTTTATTTTGTGACATTTTATCCAGAATTTCTGTATGTTTCTAGCAGGAAGGGGCCCCATCTGTATGAGTACAGACCACAACTTTTTGAAGGTTCTGTTATTATTATTATTTTCATTTGCTTAATCCTGGGCTGTGGAGGCATGAGGAGATGTTCATCACGCATAGCAGTGCCAAAACAACCTGAAAAATGTGATAATCTGTTATAAACTGAACACGTGAATCCTGAAGTACATGGAGAGTCTTTTGTTTTTATATAAAAGCTTTATGGAGATATAATTCACACATCATACCATTTGATGGTATGGTATTCAATCCATTTGAAACATACAATTTAGAGACCACTATATTCCCAGAATTATACAGCCATTGTCACAATCATAGAACATTTTCATCACCCACAAAAGAAACCCCATATCCATTGTAATTACTCCCAATTTTCTCCCAGTCCCCTTAGCCCAAGTGGCCACTAATCTAATTTCTGCCTCTACAGATTTGTCTATTCTGGACATTTCATATATATGAAA